CTTTATCCCCCCCCCCCCCAATAGAAATACAACACGCTGAGGACGTAATGATAAAGCAACAGTATTAACGATCGCTTTCAATTCAAAACAATGCAAGAGCGAAAATAACCGGTTAAATCCATGACTGAACAGCCCTCCTGCCCTCAAAATATCATGATTAAACGGGAGAATTATGTGAATCTTAAGTTCACTCCTCTGTAAAAAATAGGAAATGTGATTTCTCCCGTTCTTTCCGTATGCTCTTAGTATATGATAAATAGACCGCAGATTCTCTTATTTTAATTATGTCCACAAAAATATGAATTTTATAAAAATCCGCAGTTTAATGATAAATTTATGTGATTAATACCGAAAGATGCATAATTTGATTTCTTTGATCACAGCTACAATTGGAGGCACAATGGACAACAGTGGCATGTGGACGCACGCGTGATCAGCTGGAAATGACGCGAGCCGCCCGACGATTCCTCAGCAGCCATGGATACCTGCCATTACGTCCTCGTTCTCTGAACTTTTAACAGCCTTTCTGCAGCCGGTCGCAGGGGCTCGGTCGCACTTCGTGGTACAAAAAATGCGACATTTAACTAGTCGTAATTAAAAATACACGGCGCTTCCGTTTAAGGAATATGGCCTTTTTCTATCAAAACTGTCGAACGAGATGAGAAAAATAAAAAAACATGGCGAAGAAAAAATAAATCTATTAGACAATTTTTTTACAGGCTAAATACGAATGCTTTGCGTATTGGAATCACGTTTTGTAATCATCTTTTGTAATGTAACCGCGGATGTAATATTGAAGTATTCCGATACATAGCGTATGTATACAAGCAGTCGAATTCTGTTTTAACAAAGAAAACCATGTTTCATCTGAAATTGCATCTTGAAAGGAGAGGAAATGTCACGCTTTACCGACACTTTTGTTTATAGTTTGTTCTTAAACTCAAGAATAAACAGCGGAAACAAAAGCAAAGCAAAAGACACTTCTGCCTTTTTTTGTAGATGATAAAATGTTGCTACTGTAGTGGCTTATAATTAATAAACGTGAAAAGAAATAATATAGTAAAAAAATAACAATAATATAATCTTTGTAACAGTTTCTTACTTTCGTAAACATTGCTTGTTCCTGGTGGGATATGTACAAATTACATACATATGTTGATATATATATGCAATTTTTTTAAGGGGCATCAGAGATAGCAATGTTCACGTAAAGAAACTCTCGCATGGATCATGATATTACATACAATTTATTTTGTACTTGCAAACGTCGAAGAATTTCTGACACTTAACGTAGCGACTTCTTATCACGTTCGTACAAAAAGATAAAAGAATAAAATAATAGTCGGTTTATTTGATACAATAGTATATATTATATAATATAAAACAAAAGCATTATTGCGGCCATTATGTACAAAGAGCCTTTGTAACTGATATTTAATTTACAACTGAATAATAAAGACGTGATGATAATCACACCAAAAAATAAACGGTTGGTACTATTTTCCTGTTTTTAACCAGCACGACACATGTTGTCTGAAAGCCTTACAAATTGAAAGAGGTATGTCACGATTTCGTTTTATCGTGCTACGTTGTTAATACGATAATGTATTCAATACAATACAATAGTAACAATAATTCAATTTTCGGCGTACATTGGTGTGCTACTCTTATGAAAACTTGGAATGCCATGGAATGGACAAAAGAAGACATAAGTGCTTAGACAATGATCAGCCCGTACACATCGACAAACAATCAAAAAAAGTTCGACAAAAGTCTCACAATTATAGTGAGTTATATCGAGTGTGCCTAACCAACTCACTTTTCTTTTCATTTGAGCTTCAAACATGGTATGTTACCCTAAAGGTGTCTTCTCAGACTTTGCCGCACAAAGACACGCGCTTTACCTCATATTGGGAGTAGAATTACAGAGTATCTAAACGCAAACGGTACAACATTATCCAACAGTACATTCAAACTAGAGACGATATGACCATAATGTTCATTAGTGATGCAGTGAGCGTCGAACGTAACTCTAAGGCTCCTTCGATACACGCGTTTTCTCTACACGTTCCAACGCCATACAGAATTTACGGTTCCTTATAGAACCTCGAAGACAAATTAGTAAACTACAGTACAATATTAAATACGAAAGTACCTCCTTTCTTTATAGTACGACCTTCATTATCAATTGTACATTCTTTATGATCTGATTTTATGATCTTTTTAACACTAAAAATGAATAAAGTATGTTTACTTTCTTATTAACCCTTTGCGGACGAGTGTTGGCAAATAGCCGCCCAAATCTATTCACAGTTCCGGACACTTATTTTGAAGTGGCTGGCGTACGTCTACTTTTCTGAGCGATAATCTAATGCGTATTTACATATGGGTATAGTAAACTAAACAGTATTATGTTTTTGATGAAAGAAAATTATAGATCTTTAGAAATTTTATCTTCCGTATAACGTAAACTCGCGATGTAGAATGATGGTCGAGTCAAAACGAATTTCAGTCTTTCATTTCCAGATGAATCAGCAAGCTTTTTGTGTCTTATACATTTTTTTTAATACCTTATACACGATGCCTAAAATATCCAGAAAGAACATGTTCGATAGTGATAGTAGCGATGACGAGCATTATTTTGAACCTGACAAGATAGAAAACGACGATAGTGTTTCAGGCAGTGGAAACGAACTCCGTTCAACAAGAAATCGGCTCAGACGTTTCAATATTTCTAGTAATAGTAACAATGATGATGAACTAAATATTGATGAAAATAATACAAGCCTCGACAATGAATAACGCAAACGTTCAACGTGTATATTTTCTCAACTGCGCGTGCCAATACCTCTCGTCTACCGCGATGCTCGCTTGTCAAGCGGACCCGTCCGCAAAGGGTTAAATATTTAACTAATTATTTAATTTCAAAAGAAAATACTGTCTCCAGTTTATTTATTGGATATATTTTTCTCAATAGCAGTTGGAATGAATAAAAATTAATACCATCGATTGCCTTTGTACGTAAATATTGTTCTAGCAAGCAATGTGAATCGTCAACTAATTGCACAGAACCAGTTAGACGTGTTAGTCCTGTTTAAAATTTATAGTCAATTTCATGCATGTTTTCTTGGAAGAAAATGAATCAAAAGCGTTCATCTTCTTTACTACGATAAATATATAATATTTACTTCCACTATTACGTATAAATTATGTTAAATGTCAATTATTTATAAAGTCGACGAATCTGTAATATAGTGTATCGAATTAAATTAAAATCAAAATATTTCCGTTACCAAAAAAATGCGCAGTTGCAAACGCGTGCACTAAAAGACGCCTAAGCATACGTACAACATTACGAAGTATATATCCACGAGTTGTTTTTAGTTCACAATAACATGATGGTAATGCCCGATAAAATTCGATAGATGAATGTCGAAGCCTGAAATTACACAGATCGAATTTCACAGTTTCGAAAGGCTTATGATACGATTATTTCGTAAAGTTTCAAAGAATTATCGTGTCAGGTATTAGCTTACGTCACCCAACTATCTGAGATTCCCCCGCGCATTCTTTTTTATTTTACATGTAGGACGATCGTATCAAGAAGTGACTCAAGTAATCTTTGACTAGATGGCGATCTTTTCGAAAATTGCGCGTACGATAATTCATTAAGGAATAAAATGTGTCTTATTAATAATAATCTCATCAATTTCTATCTCTACATATAGCTGCGTAATATAACATCAGGGAACTATGTGTAATAGATAATATAGAGGAACTCTTAGCTGTCGATTATAACAATAGCTAAAAGAGAGGGGGATTTTTTCTTTCTTTGACTAGTACTACCGGTATATGTTGATTGATTTTAGCATTTACGAAAAGATTGCATCGAAAGAAAGTCACACATCATGAAATGTTTATAAAGATCTATTTGAAAACAGCGCGAGAAGAATTTTAGGAAATGGGTGACACTGTGCATACCGCGCCACCAATTAGTAACAAAATAAAAACTGCCGAGAATGTGTCATACTGTTTCATTTAGGATCGCTATAGTTACGAAAAAATTGTATCCTTGCGGAAAACGAATTTACTATTCTTTTTAAACGATTTGAATTTACGATTCAAACTGCGATTATTCCATAATTTTCGGTCTTCCATGATTATAGATATAAGCATTGATCATTATACATATCATACATTCAGCCTCCTAATAAAATAACGTCTATAAAAAGTCTGAAAACAATCAACAAAGATGTATAAATTCACTAAAAACAAGTAGAGGTATAATGCCAAAGAGGCCATTTCCTAATGTCTTTCTGTTAGAAACGCTTAAAAGCGACACTTTCTCGGGAACGTTCCGCATCTTTTTCTCGTTTTAATACTAAAAGTTCTAGCGTTGTAAATTCTCTTCATCGCCAATGTCATTGACATTATTTAGTCCAATGTATCTGGATCTGCTAAAAAGTTTAAAACACATAGAGATTTATTTGCAAAAATAGAAATTATTAGAGAAAGAACAAAAATAAAATTTATTAAATAATATTTACCTGGAGACGGAGATCCTTTGACTCTGCAAGTGTTATAACTTCCACAATTCAAACATTTCAAACCTACAATATGGAATTTTACTGTTGATTCCTGGAAGATTAAACAATTTGTTCATTGATCCCATCCAATTTATCATTGTTTCTTGATTAAGTAAAGCACAGTATAGTTCAAATGTGTAAGATAAGATTCTATTTTTACCTCGTGACAGTCTTTGCACAGAATATCAACCTTGTAATCCTTGTACTCTTCTGGCATTGGTGTTGACGATACTTCCATATCCAAAAATTTCCATAGATCAGTCATATCTAGAAGAGACACTTGGCAAGTTGGACAAGCATAATGTCCTGAGTGTAACAACTCCTCAAAACACGTACGATGAAGCAAATGACCACAATTTGGAATGTGACAAGGTATACGACTTGTGTGAATATCCTCCAAGCAGACTGGACAATTTGCATGAGAAACATTTTCTACACACTGAAAATAATAAACAAGCAATTATCTTACAGAATCAACTATATGTAATAATATAACTATGTTATATAAACAAGCTACACTCAATTAAAATTACAATTCAATAATGAAAGTTAAATAAAAAAATTCTTAAGAATATAATTCTATTAGAGTAAGCTTACTTAAGCACACTCTGACAGAGTAAATATAAAAGTTTATATATAGATTGGCTATTAAATTTGCTTCCTCTTCTTTAGCGTTATTTATATCTTCATACTCAAAGCTGAAACTTCTTTCAATTTATCATTCCAAATGTTAATCAAGCGTATTCAATGTATTACATATACTAAATGCATGAGCAATTTTTTTTAGCTTAGGCAAGCAACTATACACTACATAAGTAACAGAACATTTTCGTTAACATTTAACCAAAATTTAATGGTGCATTACATACCGTGTGTCCGTTCTGTAACTGAACCGGTAAACACATGTTGCACTTGGCACAGTGGAAAAATCGATCCCGACCGCCGACCCTGCATATCCCGCAACCGTCACAGTGATACTGATTCTTGTCTTCGTCATCGAACAAATTGCACTCGAGGCACGTATATTTACCAAAGCGACAGTGACAATTTTTGCAAGTGGCTTGTACAGGCTGACGAGTGTCACATAGAACACATATAAGTTCTGTGACTTCTTTTCTATTTACCACGTGGGTCTCCTCCTTGTCGTGACAAAATCGACATATGTATACTTTGTTACAACATGGTGTCTAGAAAGAAAAAAAAGATAGAAAATATAGTAAACTATCAGCTTTAAATATAACGTACTTTTTGAGACATAAGAATATATTTTGATCATGTATATTTTTACTCTGTCTTTCTTCCAAGTGGATGTTATGTTTCAATACATAGGGTGTCTTAGCAATTGTGATACAATTGTCAATAGGGTAATTCTGCGCGAAAGAAATAAGTCGAAAATGTAGAATAAAATTTTTCTATAAAATGCTGTTTTCAAACATGTTCAAATTCCTTTTTCTTGAAAATGAGGCCTCAAACGAAAATTTTTTTTACATTTTTGACTTACTTTCGCACGCAGATTACTTTCCTGCTGATTGTTTGCTCATACCTAATCGGTAATTAGCCAAGTTCAAATATACTTGACAAATTTTCAAATTTGATTTTCTCAAAAACGAAGCGTTATATGAACAAATTTTATTCAATATTTTCGACTTGTTTTTTCACGTAGAATCATCCTGTTGTATATTATTGAAATATAGATAATTGCTAAATATTTTGTTTTAGCATTTGATATATTGTTACTGCCTTTTATATGTTCCATGCTTTGTATGTATAAAGTACTCTAAAAAAAAAAAAAGATATCTAAAGAGGTAGAAACGTGAGGTGAGAAGAACAGCAGGATTAAATTCAAATTTTTCGTTAAAACACTATAAAAATGCGGCTTCGACAATCCTTGAGCACTTCAGAAAACGAAAGCCTTAGATAATAATCCAATTAGCCCCATATGAATCCGTCCTTGATCCCTAACCCTTTCGATGCAGCCAGGCGCTTATAAGCGTTCGGCAAATCCGTTCGACAGCGTACAGCATACGGTGAAACAGATCAGCGTGCGGAGGATATGGTAACATATGTAATATGTACCAGCATAGAACTCATTCTGCACGTGGTGTCTACGTTCAGCGACATCGAAAGAATCAATTATATGAATCAGTTAGAAGAACATTTGAAATTGTCGACAATCCTTTTATTTTCAGAAAGACCGAAATGATTCATTTCTCAAACTTTTCCATGTAACAATGGTTCGTTAAGCCTCGAATTAACCTAACTTCTAGTCTTGGTATATTCTTTGAATTAATTTCGGTCTTGTTTATTTATTATTAAAAACTTTCTTCTGTTTAAAGAAAAGGTAAGTAATAAAAATTAAAATATTAAGTTCTTTTTATCTGTTGAAATAAGAATGAGATTGGGACATGAAGACTGTCTTGTTTATTTATTATTAAAAACTTTCTTCTGTTTAAAGAAAAGGTAAGTAATAAAAATTAAAATATTAAGTTCTTTTTATCTGCTGAAATAAAAATGAGATTGGGACATGAAGATTTGATGATTATAGTAGGATTAAGTTTATCATTATAACGATCGCCGCAAGTGTGGTATGTAGTATATAATCGACTTCGATTGTGATTATTCAGTTTCTATTAGATGGCGCACATGGTAGTCGTTCAAATCCTCCATGTGCTATTGAAACACGAGTTATAGATATTTCAATACGTCTCTGCAAAAATTATTCATTTTTATCGATAAATAGTTTGTTAGTACAATTTTGTCCACTGCTACTAGTTCGAAAATATCTTACAATAGGACCATAAAATATAAATAATGAAGATCCTATCCTCGGTATAATATTTTAATAAATAAACTAGTCTTCAAATTTAATTGAATTTTTACTATTGCCTTTATTATTAATTACAAAAAAAATATTAAAAAAGAAACTGCTGACTAAAATACCGTACACTTCTTCGAGTGCAATGTACACAGCGTTTTCTCGGTAGAAGGCCTATCTGGATTATTCACGGTGCTACTCTCTTGGACAATATTTGAGCAACAAAAATTTCAGTGCCTTATCTTTATGCGTTCAGGTAAATAAGGTGAACGTAATCAGAAAACGAAATCGAGAGCTCAGTGCGTATTTCGCAAGAGGATAAAAAGATGAAATAAAAATTCAAATTGTAGAAATTTCGAAAAAGAAAAAAATTTATAATTACAGTTTCTTTTTCTTCGAGACGACGCAAAAGCACTGGTCGTTCGTAGCAGCAGCACACGACATTTGGCTTATCGCGGCAATTGGTAAGCAGCACTTTGAAAGAGGGCGTCTCGTTACACAACACATGGCTGAACTTCATCGATTTGTTTGCTGCGTACACACACGCACATATGGGACGCACGTTCATGTTTACACACGGCGAATAGAAAAAGCTCGTGTACTAGCGATTTCGGTGTCAGTCGTTAATTGTAAGACCGCTACCCGTGTCGTTTATTTTAGAAACAAGTTTATACTATCGATTACCCGAGCAAGTTCAAGGGTAGTCACAAAGGTATATCGAATCTTTCTGATTTTCAAATTTTTTGCATTTCTTCTTTCTTTTCAGTGTGCATTTTGATGGGAAATTTAAATAGACCGCTTTATGGATGCTTTTCGAATTTTATTTATCGTGTTAGGTGGCGCTTGAAGCGCTTCTAGAATTGTAAGTTCGGTTTATTAGTCGAGTGAAGATTCGTTGAAAAAACCGGTTATAAATCGATAAATTGTCAACTGTTTATTTACCATGCAGGATTCTTAAAACAATCAGACAGTTTAATTTATCGTTCGAGTGATTTCGAGCATACGATGCGACAATGTATTTACAATCCGATGCGATAATGTATAAACGACCAAGTAACGAATAAGTCATTATAGATACAGTGACGGATAAAAAAACTTTTGCACTGAACATTTGACACGTTGATAACAATCACCTATTCTATGATATATTATATTTATCCGTTGCTTTTATTAAGTATGAATCCATTTTGTAAAATTACGGTGTCTTATATTTCTTATTTTAAAAACATTCTTTTGTCCGTCACTGTAAGTAACTTAAGCCTGATTTCCACTGAAGTAACAAGGAGGAGCTTTTTGTCGCCTCTTATCCCTGCATATTCCAAAATATTTTAACAAATAGCAACTTATAAAAACATTTTATCCATACTGGCGACTTTTTCAAGAAATATAGGACAGTAACAAAAAGCTGCTTGTTGCAGCTTCAGTGAAGATCCGACTTTATACTATTCACCATATAAAAAATGCAACAAATTTGTTTTGAGAAAAATCTCAATTCCGCCTCTTTCTTTGAATAACTCAAAATATATACTGTAGGAGCGCTGTTACGCGAATTAATATATGTAATTAACTGTCAACGGGTGATGTACGTTATTTGCGATCACTTGAAGAGATCAATTAATGATATACATAAAAAGAAAACTCTATTAGCGCTTCTTACATTGTAATTTAAAGTCGTCAAGAATCAAATTGTAAATTTCAATAAATATGTATGAACTTATAGATAATATATTCGCGAGGAAGAATAAAATCGAGAGTGAAGTAGATAAAGTCATCGTATACCGTGACCAAGTTCGAAAAATGCTTGACACGAGACGAAGCCGTAGAGACACGCCGGAAGGATTAAAAACGGTACCCGAGAAGAACATGTTGCCTCGCAGCTGAATCGCGCAAACTGATCACTGAACATCTGCGTGATCGAAACTGAAAACAGAGCGCCTCGGCATATGTACTTATACATATGTATAGTAGGTTTTGCTAGAAGAGTAGCACAGTAAACTGTCGCCAATTTTGAGATATCAGGAAAATTAGCTTTGGAAGTGAAGTATTTGCTAGAATGGTCATAATTACTATTTAACAAACACAATGTCGCAATTCAAAGTACATACATAGATCTTAATCTCTGTCTTAATAATAAGTAATACACTTTAACAATACTTTATTGGAGACTCTTGAAAGATAAGAAATATTACACTAATTGTAAGAGAAAAGAAAATTCTTTCGTTGTTTTATAAGTTTCTAGGAAAATTACCTAAACTATATACAGTAGCTATTAAAAAGTATTTGCGGGCAATAATTGTATTTATTATAGCATTTACATGTCAATTAATTACGTCCAAATATATTAAACTTTGTTATATTTAGTAGTACTTTCATATTACTACAAAGATTTAATATTATTAAAATGAAATGTAGAATTTGATGAAAGAGACATTGGAAAACACGAATACTCTGTCACTGTATATTATAAAATTCAGAGGGTGAATCTACATTTAAATTTCACTTTAATTACATTCAGTAAAATATGAGTTTACATAAGCTAGATTCATCAAGTAATTAATGATCATTTACTCGGAACTTTCTATTTCACACTTGCTAAAAGACAGATTTTTATTAACCATGTTACTGTTCTAGCAAACATGACAAAATATACATGGAATGAAGCTGAAAGGAAAACAATTGACCAAAGACTCACCACAAATTTGGCCTTTCGCTTGTAGTGTTCGCAACCATAATCATCGCCAGCAGTTGCCTCCAAGGGTTTCTCCTTCGAAGTCGACGCATGTTCGGCCACGGCGCGCGCTTCGTCGTTATTCTCCATATCTCACGATGATCCTAAGTTCCTACCTCTTTCTCCTCCGCCGTCTCCTTCTTCTCATCGACTCGCACGTCCTTTCCAGATTTTCTTGCGGCGTGTCCGATTAACACCCGCCTCGGCCACAGTTTGTTTGTTTAATTAACACGCTGGCGGCGATTCAAAAACGACGAAGGAAAAAAAGAGGAAACACCGACGTCGAACGTTCGGATCACGCGGCGAAATAAAGCAAAACGCAGGGGCTGTTTATCCCGTGTTAACAGGAGGAATAGAACCGTCAACCAGAGGCGACGGGAAACGTATCGAGCCTCGTGTGTCCGATCGACAGAAAAAAACTCATCCGTGCCATCGTCAATATACCGAACACAATTCTCTGCGTCGCGGAACAAAGTTTCGAAAAAGGAGACTTTTCTACGATCTTGTTCCAAAGATCGTGAGATTTTTGTTCCGCGTTTGAATTATGCTACGCGAGAACGTTCGTTTACCTGTTACGGAATGTCGTATGAAGAAACGGCCATAATTTCTCGGCACCTTCGGAGAAAAACGGCTCGACACTCGCCACTTCTGACACTACTCCACTTCGTTGTACTATCACCACGGTGTAATGATTACAACGGCAGACGACGTTCGGAAAAAAGGATGCAAAACTATGGCCGGAAGTTGTGACGACTCGGCGAGGTACTACGTCGCATTCGTACATACATATCCGGCCCGCGAAGATTTAAATACGCTTCGAGTTTATCCCATTAAGTGATCACTAGACTGTGTTTGTTTATGCATTTTGAGAAAATTTTAACCGTTAACTGCCACGCGAACTTTATATACAGTGACTCAAAGAAATATTTGTCCGTATAATCTTTTTTATCATATTATTCATATAATATTATCATATATTATATCATATCATATTATATTATTTTTTAATGAAGTTTTATTAGATCCTAAATTTCACTTTCATAGTACTACATTTTTATGATCATGTGAAAGTGCTATTAAATATATTTGGACTTAAGGAATTGGTATGCAAATACTACAATACATACAGTGATATACAAATAAATTTTTATTCTTTCTTATTTTAATCATTCTAGAAATGCAATTGATATTGATATTGATATCTAAAATGGATCACCGAGTACTATCCTAGCAGTCAACGTGTTAGGAATGCAAAAATCTATAGAATGCATATAGTACTATAGTACATAAAAATATGCAAACTAAAGTTATTATATTATTTAGTAGATGAAACAAATTTCTATTTAAGTTTCATTTCTCTAGTTGCGTATTCATGCAATTTATATTATTAAAAAAGTGTAATCATTTGTTCTTTATGCGGCTTTATTATCTTTTTTGCAATGCTATTATGAAAAATAATTTTATTCGATCATTATTTATTATGCGAACAAATTGCACTCTGAATGAACCAATCGGATATTCTCTTTTTATTGTATAATATCATACAATATGTAACATACAATAAATTATCATTATTATAAGGAATGTAACATTTTATAGCCATTAGAAATCAATTAAACATAATATAATATATGTTTATTTTCAAATAAACTTAACAACTTTTCCGTGCAATTTAATTAGAATAAGCGGAGGATATAGAAACTTTGAGTCTATCATGGTGGTCATCTGATCGCGTGGTATCACTGTGAAAACGTACATAATAAAATGGTGAAAGATTATGGGTGTTAAACACTGAAAAAGAAGGGAGCTAGTTAAATTTGATCTGCAATCGATCGTCAATGGAATATTAATTACTGGTGTCTTTCTCGGTAGCAATGACCCATTTACAATAACTGTGAAAATACGTTCGCCAATGTGGAAATGAATCAAAATCGCGTCATGTATGGCGACTCGCGGAAACTATACGATAGACACACGCAGTTTGCCCCGCACGGGCTCTGCATTCTGTCGGACTAATGATCAATGGCTTTATTTGAGAAGCGATATACAAATAAAGTGCTACTAGATGATACAGAGAAGTTGACGAGCGTCATTGAAAATGCAAGAACAATCGACGGACACACGGTACGGCGCACGCTTAATGCGTATATTTTGACATTTACTCGATAAAAGGTGAAGTTTATACACATCGGCCTGTTCACTCCAATCTTGTGTCGCTAAATTAACGACGGTCATTATTGTTTGTTACGTAGGCATTCTCGATGGTTCTTTTGCTTTGAACATCAAATATTTCTTTTGATGTATTTATTTTTCTATAAATTAAATTAATGTGATAAAACAAATATTTTTTATTTATAATGTGTTGAGGAGAATAATATATTTTATAGTGTACGATAATGTATATAGATATTAGTGTTCATTACATATAAAAAGCATATCTGAAATATTATGATAAATTATTTTTTTGACATATATATATAAAAAGTAATTTTAGAAATTAAAATACTATTGATCAATCCTGAGTAAATAAAGTTGTCTTCTTATTTGATCTTAGAATTAAATGTAAGTGTTTCACATTCTTCTAAATATTTTTGAATTATTGATTATCATAATATTAATTAGACCCCATGGTTGTATACTTATTTTAAGAGACTTATAATCTTAAATGTACAAACTTGTCATCTTCAATTATTGTTTATTGGTCGCATATATACAATGGCTTGCAAAATTAGTTGTACATTTACATTATAGTGTTATGTTTATTTAGGAATATGTGATTAGAATACAAAGAGGTCCACTTCCAGAGAAATCTTGGAGAGTTAGTAGACGCTACAATGATTTCGTACAACTTAATGCAACTTTATCAATATCAGGCATTGACCTGGCCCTTCCTCCAAAGAAAATTATTGGTAATATGGAACCAGACTTCATAGCTCAACGTCAAGTAGCCCTACAGGTTAGTCTTGTTATAAAAGAATTATTATTATTAAATCTTTTTATTATTATTATTTTATCTGTTTTTAGAATTACCTAAACAATATACTAATGAATCCTATATTGGCATCGTCACTCCCCATGAAAAAATTCTTAGATCCAGATAATTACACAGCGCCATTACATGGTATGATTTAATTATAATAATACATACAGTTAAAAATAAGTTGTACATATATATACATATAGACAGATATAGGGAATATTTTACTTAAGTATTAAAATAAGTCCAATAGTATTATAAATTATGAATTTATCGTGTATAGTGTATTTCATAAGTAATTTCCAAATTCAGAAATAGCACTGCAACAGGTGTCACTAGCTTTACGCAGTGATGCAAATTTCGAAGTTTGTAAGGCCATTCCTGATATGGGATGGCGGTTAAGGAAACATTATTATACTGTAAAAAATCGTCAAAATCCCAAGCAAGAGTTACTGCTTGCATGGGTAGAATTTGGTCCAGACAAACACCTGCAAGATAAAGATATGCAAGGAGTTTTCAAAAGTTTAGGGACGTTGAAGCATAATTATATAGAACCAATCGTTTATCAACATGTAACGGAAAATGGAGCGTTAATGATAAGAAATTTTTATCCAACGGGTACATTACGCGATATTTTGTGTGTAACTAAACCCAAACAACCGTTTATAAAGAAATATGGAAACCCAAAACAAACCAAATCGTTAACAGTGCCTGAAATTGCTATGTATGGTTACCAGGTTAGAAAATGAATACTTTATATCAAGATCATGGAAGAATAAGTTTTATACCTAAATATATTTTATTTTTTCTGTTCTAGATTTTGGAAGCTTTAGGATTTCTTCACGAAAAGGGCCTACCATACGGACATTTACATACAGGAAATATTCTTTTGACTCAGAGATGTGCGAAATTGCTGGATCTAGAAAATGGTCTGTTAGGCTTACCAGCATTTTATCGGCCTTATGTTGTGCAAAGGCGTAAACTTCACGCTACGGTATATTATATCCTACATTTCGAAAAATGTCATATAAATATATTAATATAATAAATATTTATGTATCTTTTCTTTTAATAGACTCAAGTAGATGTTTATTCGTTTGGACATGTATTATATGAAATGGCATTTGGACGACCACTGTTAGAAGCAACGTGTTCTGAGTTACCTTATTGTGAAGCAACTTTAAAAAGTCTGCTGGAAGTGATACTCGCACCAGAAGCTCTAAAACAAGATTTACCAACGGTATCGCATTTATTAGAACATCCATTCTTCGAGTCAGCAAGACATGCTGTATTAGCTGTTGGCTCCATGGAACGACCACACTTCAAATTAAGTAGTCATTTGAAGGAGGCTCTGCAGCAAGCAGTGAACAAAGCAGAACAAAGATTAAAAGACGAGCAGAAAGTAGCAAGACATCAAAAGAGGCTTGTCAAAGTTCAGGAAATGATGAGCTCGGAAGAAGAGATGAAAAAGCGAAAACAAAAACTAGTAAATATTTTAATATATCTAAATACCACATTAAACTATTGCTCCAAAGTAAAAAAAATTCATGTATTTGTTTTTCTAGAAAAAAGAACAGAAATTAGCCCAAGAACAACGTTCTGCAAATCAACTAAGTGCGAATGGGATGAAACATGTTAACGGCAAGAGTCCAGAGCGCTCGGATAGTCCTACAAGTACTTCTACAGCGACCAGCGTTGGAACTTTAACACCCCCATCGCTGCGTAAGTTACAGATCATTTTTTTCAATAACATTCATTAACAATTAACATTAATCGATCTTCCTCATTTTTACGTTAGCTGGGCACAAAAGTTGATGGCGCATACTACGCTTATTTCTCTCACGTAGGTCATACGATCATACAAACACTAATTGCTCACATTCATGCATTTTTTCTTTTAATTATCGCTTGAATACATCTTGAATGAAATGTATGTACTTCTTTTTTGAATTTATGCATCGTAGGTTGTATTTGATTCTGATAACTGGTATTGGGTGTAGTACATATATTTGAATGTTAATGGTATAGTTGATAAAAATGAAATGTAGTGTAATGATATGTATTCAAGTGACGTTGTAACCTTTATATAAAGTTACAATTTATTTAACTAAAGGTTCTATAGATGTGCCGCAAAGTGATGGAGTTCCTGCTAAGAGTACTGTACCACCACCTCCGATGCCACCATCCGTTGATGCAAGTAATGTTTCAAAGTTGACCAATGAACGAGCTGCTCTGCTAGGAAGTATTTGTAATTTCAATAAAACTAGTCTTCGTAAAGTTGCCAATGAATATCATTGAGGTGATAAAGTTAGATAATTGAAAGAAGATAGTGCTGAGTGATCGTACTGATTCAGAAATAAAGAAGAAATTGTATGACAGTAATCTATACCAAAAGGATGCTATTTTTTTCATCAAATTGCGAAGATATTTATAATTTTATTTCGATCGCGATACTTGTGAGATCTGTATACGTACATATATATATTTCAATTCTGTAGAATCTTAATATGTATATTTCATAGGAATAGATAGTTGTAAATCGTATATTTACAAATAATCATGTATAAAATAATTCTATTCATGTATTTTAGCAACATGAATTATTGTTAGAATTGAGCAATATTTAAATATTATGTGTTATTACTTTTTATTCTTTAAACACCGTCCAAAAATGAATTCGAAATTGTAAAAGATTAATTAAAATAACAAATATTCTTTAAAAAAGAATATTTCTTTATATGCTATATTTGTATCTATAAATGGAAATTAATCTTCCCTTTAATCATATTTAAAACTATTAAAGAAAAGCTTATTAATATTATTTATGAAATAATCTATATTTTAACTAGAAATGAAGTTCATTTCCTTTGATCTAAGTCTCGCGATCGAATCACATCTAATATCTTACTTGTTCGACTCTAAGGAAATTAAAATGATAATTGATAAGACGAGAGTGATAGTATCTACGTGTACCACATAAACTTTATCTCGTTAGTGTTATATACCGTTCTGTCTATTTCAAGTTTATGATATGTGTAACGTAATTAATGTACAGATACCATTCGTCTTGTAAAAGTGAGTATTGTGTGTTGCTTTACTTGTATCGCTCGTAGAATCGAAATCACGTTTGTTTCTACGGAGAGAGAAAATGTGCCAAGACCCGATCTTTCCATTGAACAAATAGTAATGTCGTAATGGTGAATGTCGGCGTAATATATATTTCTATATGTCGCGGAAAAATAAGTATATATGTACAAGATCTATCTGTGAATATCATAACAAAGCGATGTAATATAGGTAGTCACAATTTTTCATATGTAATATCAATCTTAAATGTAATTTGTTGAATTATCTTAAATGTATATGTTGAATTATAAATACTATTCTTCATAGAATAATATAAATATTCGTTCTATCGATAATTATAGAAAACAAATTGAAACAGATACTATATTTATTAAAGAAGATAATGTAAGTTATATCATTTGGAGATCTTCAGGCGTACTAATAAATATATTAGTAAATCGAATTATCGTTTGTTTGCGAGGAATATTTACTTAATAACTATCGTGTAATAGTTGTCACGATATTCTGCATAATTCTTCTTAAACAATATAGTCTAGTGCGAAAAATAATTTATTAAAACGAAACAATGGCGTAAAAAATTATCACACTACATTTTGAATAATACTTGCATTTAATATAACAAATTGCAGAAAATAGCTTTCCTCTTGAAGATATTTTACTACTTATAGTGAAAATTTAATAAATACAAAATATGCATATCTCCGCAGTATTTTTATCATTCGAAGTGTCTTGAATATAAATACTGTAAATTCTTACTATATCAAAAATATACGTGTGTACATATAGCTATCTAAATACACGATAGATCGTAAGGATTGCAATTTCATTTTGTTTGTATTCAAGGGTCAAGCGTTTCAAAGTTCAACAGGTTCAACAAAAGTTGGGTTTCAATCAAATCTATCTTAACTTCTGTTGTTTCATCAAAATTATTTTTCTTTTTCTATTTTATCAATATCATTGTATTCAAATTATGTGGAATTATACAAAAGTTTCCCGATATAAGCAAAATAAGTTCGGTGAACCATACAAAGATTGTGTCACGCTTATGTTATCATATCATAAATTATGAGGCTCAGTGATATAAAAAAGTCGATGTATGAAGGGAAAACCGATAATATGTAGTACAGTGACACAGTTTCAATATTATGTTTCACAAGCTGTCGTAATTTGCGATTATGTTAAAGTTTTTTCTATAAACAGCGGCTGCGAGTTTTTACGTAATATATTACGACAATTGCTTTCTACCGTGTACGTACGTACATATATACATTGTTATGCATGCGATGATGTAACCGCGATACGTATATGACATTCTTAAGTCAACACGACTCGTATTTAAATTAAAATCTCCCGAAAGGTATAAATGGCATAATGTTCTCTTTTTCCACTTTTTTCTTTGTCACAAAAATAGAAAAAAAGAAAGAAGAACAAGAAATAAATCACTACTGCTCCAATATATGCATTACGTTACACGATTGCATATATGTTACTAATATGTTGTCCACAGGTGAAGATCTTTAGTTAAAATTCGAGCATGAGTATGACCTATTGTCACGTTAAAATTAAAGTATTATTTTTTTTTTGGTAAATTAAAGCTAATCGGGGTGACAATAAGAATGCCCCCCGTTTAAACATCATGACCTTTTATGAAGCTCTTCTGTAATTGTTTTTAGCCTGAAAAAGAAAGAAGATTAGTTATTAAAGATATAAAGATTATTATTACCACCATAAATATAAAATATTACTATGATTTAAAATGACACTTTACTTTATTAGTTCTTCCTGAATACGATCCGTAATCGCTTTCCTCGCTTCCACTTCACTTGCTTTCGATGCACGCAATTGTTCTAGTAACTCGGTAAAATCTATTGGCTCACCGTAATTCAAGGTGACCTTTTTACGAATTTTCAATCTGTATGGTGGTTCGTTTGGAAGAACTTCGTCCATACCAAGGTGATAGATTGGTATCACCAGTGGCGTAACTGGCGATTCCAATATTAACCTTCCAACACCCCACTTTAATCTATAACACGTCAGTGGAACATTAAATTTTGTAAAATCATATTTTTGTCATTCTGTGATAATTAAGTAAGAAAAAAGAAGACGACGAAGAAGAATAAAATAAAATATGGAATAAAGAGTAGAAAAAGATAATCGCAAACCTCATGTTGTCTTTAAACATGTTTACTTTTCCCTCGGGAAAGACATGAACCCAATCACCGGCTGCCAATTTTTCGATGCAGAAATCTATAGCTTCTTGATACACGCCGCCACCTCTGATCACAGGAATGCATTTGCCCAACATAAAGAAGTACGAATGCCAGGTCTTTGTGAAACAAATGTCGTGGGCCGCGAGCGACCACCTCATCTTACGTCGATTCATCAGACTCTTCAGGCCCAGGGTCGCTAAATGAGTTCAGAGATTTTTCTGTCTTAAATTTTTTCATTCGATCGCTTATCGATGGTCATTCTGAGGAAGAAAAGATTATATATGTTTCAGGAAGAGGGGAATGCGCGTAATGTGTGAGGTATACATGCATATGTGGTATGTATGTGGATCTAAATAATTGGTGTTTAACAAAATAACAGAGGAGGACATAGATAGAATGCACATGTTTATGCAAATTTATATTTTTTCGAATACCACAAAAAAGAAAAAAATAAAACTTAAGCAAAGACTCATCTGATCCACCCAATATCATAATCAATACTATACCTTGAACATTTTTTATGATTTACGGTAGTATTTGTATTCTGTGTACTTTACACTTAAATTTTCTATAGATACATAAACATCCGCACTCTAGAAACAAATAAAATTTAGATGTGAAATTTTTCATAGATATAGCGTATTGTTATTATCGTTATCTAAATTATTCAGTCAAACTGGAAATCTATTTTATCAATAGTATGAATAAATAAAACGATTTACAACTCACAAGCTGTGCATAATGCTTGAATGCTATTATTTATGTAAAATCGAAGTGGTCGTTCAAGGTTATTAGAAAAAGGTTGCATGTGCATATTCCGCTATATTGTTTTTCTTTAAATACTTTTGTTATAAAAAAAAGTAACTGTCATTTAATTCACATGAAAAATGTAAGAAAGTAAATCATCCATTTCATTTTATTTACTGTTTCACCAGTAAAGTATACTTTGAATAGATAACAAAAGGAAAAATACATGTCGTTCAACTATTGTTTGGTTGTCTCGATAACGATTTGTCAATCGATATTTGGAGTAAAATATTTGCTAATAAAGCACAAACATGGAGATAGGAAATAATATCGATAAAATATTGTTGTATGTTTAATACAGATAACGGTCGGTACGATGCGAAGGGATGCAATTGTTGAATCATCATTCGAGAGACTTACCCCATATGCCAGGGTCATCGAAACAACTGTGATGATTCGACACCGTAATGAGCGGCACATTTTTCGGCCTTTTGTTTAACGCACGATTGATGATGTATTTGTTGTATACCGTCGTTCTGTTCAGCCATTCTTAAACAGCAAAAGCGAAAAAGAAAAAACTTTTTGATAAATTCATTTGTATATCAGGTGGAGAGATTATAGGGGTGTATTTAACTTAAAATTTGTACATTTCCCGTGTATAACTGATGAGTAAGGGGAAAAGACGAGGACTGTCCATTTTTCGTGATTTTGCATTTTATAGCACATTTTGTTTGGAAATTGAAATTGAGAGACAAGAACTGTCTAATCACAATGATTATACTTAAATATGCTCATAAGATAATGTTAACAATTTGGTGTACTGCTTAAAAACAGGGAATAGCCACTCAATATTGGAACTAAACACAGATAAAAATAATTAATATCTTATTAATCATTATTTTTTACGAGGTCTAAGTAAGATTTAAGCTTCATTTTATGAGTAATGCAGGTAAATTGCTTGAATGTTGTTCCTTTTTTAGTGGACTAAAATATTAAAACTTAATTTTCTTAATAAAGCCATTTTGTGATATTCCTCGTTTCCCCCCTAATCTTCAACTACATTCATATACATAGGAGTTGGGAGACACACTTCATCTGGATTTTGCATAGAATTGGTTTTATTCAAGCGTATGCACAATGAACCAGTGATCTTTCGCTCGCGAATCATTGCTAGTGCTAAAGCTTTTAAGTAAAGCCGCTACTCATGCTTCGCTGACACGTAAATAATTATTCTTTTCATCGAAACCTTAGAACCATATCGCTACTGCAATCTTTATGCAAACTGATGACACAATGAAATTGGATGAGGTGATCCCTGTGAAGTAATTGATACGATTGCCCTGAAAATTTAAAAATGAGCGATAAAAAATTTGTTCACAGCAAAAAATGAGAAAGGATATCTCAAAGACAGTTTAATATTTCGAAAATATTTTAAATGGTAACTGTCACTTTTCAAAGAGGTTCAATTACCTCCACACAAGGTCATTCAAGGTTATAATCATGTACTAAATCGATCTCTGGTTTTATATTTCGATAACAGCGTGAAAGTGAAAAATTTGCATATGTATTATGAAAAATGAAGATGGAAA